CTGCCACCTTCAGAAGCAAGTGCCTCCTTGCTTCCTTTCTAATCCTGATCCACATTGGGGTGTTTTTTTCCTAGCTGCTAAAAGTAGCAGTTCAGTCATTCTGTGACATGCTGTAACTCCCATCTTCTCAGCTTCTCAATTTTTGTCTGATATCACAGAATAAGAATCATAGAATGGTTGAGATTGAACGGGAACTCTGGAGGTCATCTTGCCCAACTGCTATAAGCCTGAAAATTAAAAAACTTTAATTTCCTTTTCATTTTTACTCATGATCAGTGTTCAGTTCTTTGTGCAATTTCTTGACTTCCTCTGTACTAATACATTAGTAACTTACCTGTAAGAATATTTTGAACCATGATCATTACTTCCAAAGAGATTGTGCCCATTTTCTTCTAAGATACCATACCTGACTGACTTCGTAAATCTGCATCCAGATTACTAAAACTGGTGTTCTGATCAGGATCTACAGTCAAAACAGTGTCACAAGTCACCCCTACAGACTGTCCTTTCTTTTCACCTTGTGGTGGGTTGACTTTAGCTGGATGTCGAGTATGCACCAAGCCATTGTATCTCATCTTCCTGTATCTCATCAGGAAGGGGGAGAGAAAATAAAATGGAAAACAATTCGTAGATTGAGGTAAGGCAGTTTACTAAGGCAAAAGTGAAAGGCTGCATGCACACAAGGAAAGGGAAAAAAACTCTTAAGATTCTACTATGTACTTCCTATCAGCAAGCCATGTCCAGACACCTTCCAGGGAAGCAGGGCTTCAAGCACATGTACTGATTGCTCTGGAAGGCAATTGTTCTCAGTAGCAAATACTCTCCTTCCTTCTTTTCTGTGTGAGCACTGCTCAGTAGCTGCCAAAACACAGCTGTGTTGCCAACACCTTTCTAATAACCAATACAAAGCACAGCACTGTGAAGGGGCACACAAAGCTAAGGGGAAAATGAACTCCATCTCATCCAGACCCAACAGACACCCTGACTGCACTCCTCTCAGACCACGATGAGAAACTCAACTTGTAAGGAAAAGTGCAGGCACTGCATGAAGTACATCACTACTGCAATGTGACAAAAAGAGAAAAGGCAGGATTTTAAATATTGTTCAATGAAAGAAGGTTTGAAGGAATTTCTCAACACTAGCTTGTCAAGAATCTTCACTTTAATCTTGAACTAAGTTGCAATACAGACAGCAATTTTTATACAAACATGGAGGTAAAGATCAGAAAAGCATCCAAGGACCTGAGTTTAGCACAACTATAGGCAGTAGAAACATCTAACCGAAATTACAGGTATGTGGTACACTGCTATCAGGTTTCAATCAGTTCAGCAAAACCTTTTAAGGACATTCACCCTGGCTGCTGCCAGAGGGACAACAGGACTCTCTTGAGTGAAGACGGTATTAATATAGTATTTTACAGTAAATTTTTCAGCATGTTCTCCATATAAGATTACTTGAGTGCAAGAATAAAAATAACAGGCAGCTGACAGCACAGTTCATTCCCCACCTCAACTTCCCTTGTCAGCATTTTCCTCCAGCTGAGAATCACATTGAAATACCTTCCTGCAGATTAAATATGTATTTAAAGAATCACAAGGCTAAAACTAAAACTGAATGTTCAAAAAGCAACTGTATTTTTCTTCAAGTACTTCAACTCTTCGAGGTTTTCATTTTCCTTTTTTCTGTAAGTGCTTAGGAACAATAGGGCTAGAATAGTTCTTTTACAGAAAAAGAGACAACTGCAGAATTCCCTCTGTTGCCCAACCCCAACTCAACAAGTCATAAAATGGGAGATAAAGCAAAAAACACGCAGCGATCCTTTAAAAAAATGCTAAACCATGTTCTCTTCACAGGTTTATTCTAGGTTTTGGTCCATGACTCTGTCCTCTGGCTTCTTTTCACCGAAATGGAAGGCTTTATCAGGTCACAGCTTCCTCCAACAATTACAGTTCACTCACTTTTACTGCACTCAGCAACCAAAAGAACCCTCAGTTTCTCACCTGAAATTCAGAATGGATGCGAAAATCTTCAAGGAGACTTCTCAGGAAGAGGAGTCATGCTGCCCAGGGTATTTACTCTGAATTACAGACTTCAGGCCTAAATACATCCACTGCATGTGAGTTGCAATTTAAGTATATTATCCTTTCAGCTCATTTCTAAGTACACAATTAACACTTTTTCCCACATTATATAGCAGTAAAACTACAGTCTACAAAAATAACACTATTTTTCTAAATGGATACTTAAGTAAATAGTTTTGGTGACAGTGACAGCATGCTTTTCCACAATGACAGATTCCCTAGTACTGCCCAGTCAGTTCTGATTCCTACAAACTTGGGCATTAAACCTTCAGTCCTGTAAGCAGAGCTTAAAATTATTATTTCCCTGGATTAAGTAGGAAGACTGTACAAGAAATAGCACTCAGCACTGTGTGTCAAATACCAAAGAATTTGAGAAGCTCGTAAACTTGTTCAGCTGTGCAAGATACTATGAAATATAATTACTTTGCCATTTTCCTTTGGAACACAATGATATGCAATCTTTGTAGCATACTGCATTGATAAAGAGAAAAAAATTCAAAGAAAAAGCAACTTTAAAGAAATCTCCTTAAACTGTTAATGACCGCTTACCCTCTATAGGTTCTACAAGCCAGGGAAACTTCTTGGACCTAAGTCACCAGGCTTGTTCTAAAGCAAACTTTTCCACAAGAGACAGCAGAAGCGTATGTCTGTCAAAGGTAAAATCATTCTACTAGAAACAAACAGGGCTCCATCATTCTCTGATGACAGCTCTGTAAAAACGTGTATTTCCACTAAGCTGTGGGTGTAGCAACTGATCTTTAGTTCCATATGGAGATGCAAATGTTCCATGCATGTCAAAATAATACCAGTTCATGAAAGCGCAATATGTGGTTTTTTGTAATATCTGATACAGAGGCTACATTCAAAGAGAACTCCTCAAATTTCTATTAAGTAATCAATTAAGAGGTGTTCAACAGATCTTTTAGTCATCACAACACAAGATTCAAACTTTTTAACTGACATGTTACAAAAAAAGGACAAAGTTTAAGTGAACCCTTATATAAAATACTTTCCCAAACTAGGTCTCCACAAGACTATCTTCCCATGCAACATTTCATTTACAGCGCAACAGAATATAAACCAGTTTGGGATAAAATAGTTTTAATCCCATGACTCAACTTCACTTGCAGAATACTTCATCTTCATTTCTCCTGGGTTCATGTTGCCTCTACCTCTGTTATTCTAGGAAACAGAACAGGTCCTAATTTAGAATCATTCCAACCACTTTCAATTATTTAATGGTAAAAGTCACTGCAAAACAATTTCAGCTTTCTGCGTGCATGTCTCAATGTATCTGAACACCACTTCTAAATATAGTTTTTATCATGAACCTTCTATATACAAGGTTTTTGGACCCCAGTGTGAAATTAATGCAGTTTAATCAACCTCAGATTTCATCAGGTGTGGTAGTAACACTTACTGAAGTTCACATCCCAACATCTTTTCTTACCCAAAACAAATCAGTTCATACAACTGTGGGAAAAAACTTCCTTCTCAATTTCTTACATAAAAGTGACTGAATTACTTTCTCAGTAAATGCCTTTTAAAAAAACCAAAACACCGAAGTCCAGTCATCTATAAGATCATCCTAAAATAATCAGATAAGATCTTCCAACAGATTCCGCTTTCAAATTCACCATTTGATTATCGAATGGCCCATCTATGCATTCCCTTTGAAAGTGAATATTATAAAAACATAAATATTACCTTTCTTCTCCAAGAGAAAGGGCATGAGGATCCTTACTGAACATTAGATAAGACTTTCTTTCAATAAAAGTAAAGCAGCAAAACCCAGCTTTAATAGTTCATTTGAAAGAAAAAAAATAGGACTGGTTACAAATGCACAGTTTCTGTCAGACTGACATCAGATGGTCTCAAAAGAATTAGAACCTCATGATCTCCAACTCAAGAGCTGGTGCACTGTATATATGTGATATCAAGGACAGTATTCCCAATTCAGGCAGAGAGATTTCATCTGAAAATATTGTATTCACACATATCCTTGGGCAACAGTCAGATTTGGTAGCTCAAACACCCAAACTTCTCAGTACTTTCAATAATTACAGTATGGAAAAAGATAATTAATGAAAGGAAGAGTCTGAGCTTGAATTCAAGCTTCAGACACCATCTAAGAAGTGAGAGCAATTACTTCTACCATGGTCTCTAAGAAAGTATCAACATTTGGAACACAGCTGAGATGTGATGAAGTTCTTACTGGAAGTAGCAGATGAAGGAAAGGCTTTTAGTTAAAATCCAATTAGATAAAGGCAATTAAGTAACAAACATCAGTTGAAAATTTGAATTTCATTCAAAATAGGAGTAAGCACAGAATTTAAATCCTAAAATATTAACTGCAGAGTGATTTGAGAGCTATGCCATAGAGGCTTTCTCCCTTATTCAAGCTGTATTTTAAAACACTATTAGACTAGAAGGCTTCTCCTCATCACAGATATTAAGAACAATTTTGGCATGGACCAGACTGGGGCATTTATCTAACTATGATTAACTGAGATTTTAGTCAACAAGTTACCTGACTGAATGATTTACAGCAAGCAGTAACTGTATGATCAGCAACTATATGCTCCCATTTTACATGTGCAGTAGAGAAATTTCTGGAACTACAGCCTTGGCATATGTTTGCACAAACCTGTCTTCCACAGACTAATTCTTGACACTACAGATCAAGAGTAAGGCAGTTAGTAACAGGCCACACCGTTAAGAGTCCAAGTCAAGCAAGCCGTCTGAAATTAGTTTCAGTAATTCTTTGGAATTCTTTGAAGATGCACAACTAAGAAAAGGGATGCAGTTACAGTCAAAACAGTTTCAGTGGCATTACTCACGATATATACGGCTAAGTACACTTTTTCACTAAGACAAAGTTCTAAAAGTCAAGACTTTCAGTTCATTTCTAGACCTACCTTTCGGACATTAACTGAGAGTCTTCCTCTTTCAGACTCAAAAGCAACTTCTGTCAACCAAAGAGGAACTTCCTGCTGGGCCTACATAATTAAGAATGACAATTTAGAGACTTTGACTGCTTTACCAATTCAGGAGTTCCCTAGCTGTTCCAAAGACCTAACAGTTGCTCAGTACATTAAAGCAAAATCTCAAAGAGCAGAGAAAGTTAAGCAGTAAGATTTGAAACTTACGTCTGAAAGCACTTTAATTAGAGACTGTGCAAGATGGCCATCCGAATCATTATCAAAGAAGCAAACTGCTTTCCCTGTATTTCCACAACGGCCAGTTCGTCCAATTCTGTGTACATACTCCTCAATGGTGGAAGGAAGATCAAAATTAATAACATTCTGAACGCTTTCGATGTCCAGACCTCTTGCTGCCACTGAGGTTGCCACGAGAACTGGACATTTTCCAGAACGAAAATCCTGAAGGGCTATTTCTCTCTCTCTCTGCTCTCTATCTCTACAAAGAAAGCAATGGTTAGAACACATGTCTCAAAAGATCTACGATATTATTTAAGATACACTTTAAATGTCATGATTCATGGATAGATGTAGTCCTTGTGGGGGGCAACAGACACAAAAAAAAAAAAACCCGAACAACCCACATATACTACCAACTCAGGTTTTCTGAATTTTTAACTGATTAGCAACTGCTTTACCCTAAGTCTCTAGATACATTGAGGTTTTTTAAAGTATCAGACATAATTATGCATCAAACTGCCTCCCTAAGAAGATTCACTTGTTTAATTGGTTGATTCTTCATGCCACAGTTAGAAGTCCTTCTCCTACAGCTTTGTAGCAGGGAGTCAGAGTAACAAAGATTAAAGTCTACCTAGACTCCCACGTTTTTCAGATATACTAAAAAATGTGGCCAGCCAACAATAAAGAACTTGTCTTCTGTTTATCATCATGCCAAGAAAACCATATTTGCTCTGGGGTTTGCATGTTTAAAGAGTATTTACAGATCATCCAGTACTTAACTACTGTGGATCAGAGTTTCACTCACACTCTTTGTTGTCCAAATGAGAAAACAAATTAGAAACCTAAACAGTACTCTTTGGGACCTTAACACGGGATATTTAGTGAAGTCTGGTATGACCACTATTCCAGAGAAGAGTAACCATCCTAACTTCAACTCAAAAGGGTAAAGTGAATCAGAAACCACTAACATTCATGATGCTTCCACTGAACCAGTTATTCAAGTGTCTTTAACTCACAGCGCAGTGTTTCTACAGAAATGTGTTAAGAACCTCCTCTCACACAAGGAACTTGTGGGACAGCAATTCAGACTAGCCAAGAACAGAAGGCCAGACCTTCTCAATATGACTTTCACACACCTATACATCTGACAGGCCACAGGGTACACATAAACATCTCGTATCTGTGTAATAAGATCATTTTAACCCCTCTACAACCTTGATGTTCTGACATCTGTCAGAACACTGCCCATAACATAATTTTATTGGCAAAAATTCAAGTCCCTTCCTCCTAATACAAAAAACACTACAAAATTACATTTTCAATGTGCTACAGGCCACTAGGATAAAAAAAAAAAAAAAAAAAAAAAAAGAAAACTTCATTCCAGCTCATGATGTGAAAGACACATCATCTTAGATGTGTTTTTACCTGGAATCAGAACCTACTTCACTTTTGTTTCTCAGAATCTGTTCAGGTATGCAACACTAATAAGTGGACTATTAACACAAGTTAGAAGCATCTTTTCTTTAGATCTATCTCCATAAAAATGCTAAGTCCATGAACACATCATAGAGGCAGAAATGACAGCATCAGAAATCTGTATGGCATGTGACTTATCATTTTGAGGAAGCTCCAAGACAGAGTGAAAGGTCCACAACTGCCACTCGCATTTACAAACATCATCTCACCAGTAACAGCAAAAGTTCTGGTTTTGGTCACGGAAATTATGGCAAAAACTACACATGAAGAACAGATGATTCTAAGAATTTATTATACTAATTTTCTAAGCAGTAGGCATAAAAGATTCTCCAGTTCAAACACAGCATTTGGTCAACCAAAAAGATGTATACTCAGCAAATGCTGTGAGAACCAGCATTCAGAAGCTTTACATTCTCTATTGGGCAGAGCTACTGAGAATTACAGGACTATGTGAAACACTGCAAGCTAAACCACAGATGTGGCAAAACCTGTGTTCTCAATAAAAGCTTCTCACAATAGTATTAGGTGACTTTCACTTTAAAAATACTTACCCATGGATGCTAGTGGCTGGTATATTTTCTTGACAAAGAAAGCATGCAATGAAGTCTGCTTTTTTCTTTGTGTCCACAAACACCATGGTTCGCTCATTACCTATGTTGAACAGAAGTTCAGAGCCACTGCAGTTCAAAACATGATGCACTTCACTATTTAGAGTTGCATTTACTTATATAAACACCTAATATATATGCACATATTGTAATTTCTTGATTGTGTTGAACTAATTAAACTCAATTGATCGATTTCTAGATCAATACAGAAACCTGTGAAGACATGTGCCTTCTGTTTTTCTCCTCAATAAAAGGAAGAAATTAATGTTGCTCTCTGAGAAGCAAGCACTCCCTTTCTACAGTATGAAGCTAAGAGCAGCACGCCATCCTGAGCACTGAACAGCAAGGCAGATAAACTACATTTTAATTCCAAACTCAGTTCCAGTTTTCAGCATTAAAACGTAAGATAAATTCAGAACAAAAATGAAAGAATCCCAGTCACTTACAAAATACAGGCCCAAACATTCAGGTAAGAATTTTAATACAGCTATAATCTTGAGATAACACCTCCAGATACTAAAGAATTGTCACACTCACTCACTCATGGCCAGTCTTCGTGAACGCAGATTTGGGAAAGGTCATTAACCCTTCGAGCCTGCGCAGTGGATTTTTTTAGGTGAGACACAGTGTGCACTGAACTGAGCCCACCCTTTAATCCTGAGGTTCATCTGCCGGGGCCGAGCAAGCTTGGACAGTGGCAGTGAGGTCCTCAGGACGTAGGTTTGTTTAGAGTGACCTCCTCTTAGATGGATGGCCTTACAGGGCTGACGAGCTCCATCTGCCCGGAGGAGTTCCCTGACCGGGAATCGAACCCGGGCCGTGGCGGTGAGAGTGCTGCAACCTAACCACTAGACCACCAGGGGTCCTCTAAAGAATTGTAACTGACCATATAAAGAAGAAAACCATCTAGGAAGCTTATCTGCTGGTACTCAATAGAGATGAGACACTGACGAATACTGGGTATTTGATTAGATTCAGTGACCTGCAGAGGTCCCTTCCAATCAGAAGTAATGTGTGAATTTATGAAGTATCTGTAACACAATATGCCTAAAAACTTGGAAATTCTGAAGTTCCACTTCAAGCTTCATCAGTAGTCTTGTAAAGCATGTCACAATAAAATCACAGAATCATGACCTTTTAAACAAAGTTTAAAACCAAGCAATTTTCCTTTCCTGGTAAAATATTAACAACAAGGAAAATTACCTGTGCTGCGTAGAATTTCCATCAGTTTATCTCTCTTGAGATACTGAGAAACCTGAAGAATATTTTGCTGAACATCGCTGCATGCTCCACCCACATGTCCAACAACAACAAATAAAAAATCAGTTTTCAAAAATTCACCAGCCAGCCTTAAAAAGAGACAAAATTGAGCAACATGAAGTCTATTATGTATATTATTTTTGCTTTAAGATCAAGTATTTTCATTTACAATAAGCAACCCTTACAACAAATATTTTTATTCTCTGTCTAGTCAGGAATAACACAAGCACTCATATGTGCATTTTTCAAAAAGCTAAAAATGTCTGCAGTGTTTGGGTTCAGAATTCCAACCACATCCTGGGCTGCATGAAAAGAAATATGACCAGCAGGTTGAGGGAGGTGATTCTGACACTGTCTTCATGAGATCCCACCTAGAGTGCTGTGTACAGCTCTGGGGTCTTCAGCACAAGACAGACATGGACCTGTTAGAGCAGGTCCAGAGGAGGCCACAAAGATGACCACAGAACTGGAGCACCTCTCCTGTGAAGCAAGCTTGAGAGAGCTGAAGAGCTGGGGTTGGTCAGGCCTCTCAGAAGAGAAGGCTCTGGGGAGACCTTACTGCAGCCTTCCAGTACCTAAAGGGGCCTCATAAAAGAGAGGAAGAGAAACCTTTTACATGATTCAATAGGACAGGATGAGGTACAGGCTGGACAGAAAAATGGATCAAGACTAGCCCTAAGGAGAAAGACCCTAAGTCTTTCCATTTGCTGGTGGATGAGAAGCTGGATATGACCCAGCAATGTGCACTTGTTGAAGCCCAGAAATATAAAGAGTATTCTTAACTCTTCAGTTATTTAATTCTGTACATCTTCACATATGTTTCTATTTTTACTTTACTCACCTCTGAACTTCTTCAGGGAATGTGGCACTAAACATTAGTGTCTGGCGTTTGTCTTTTTGTGGCATGTCTGGGAAAGAAATCAGCTTCTTCATCTCTGAGCCAAAACCCATATCAAGCATGCGGTCTGCTTCATCTAGCACCAAATATTTCACATTATGCAAACTAATCTGCAAGTATTTCAGTCAAAGAAAAACAGTATTCGTTCACTGACAGTACATACTTACAAGATTTCCTAACTGGTAAAATCCAGCTTTTACTTATTTCTTTCAAGTAGAAGTTACTAAAAAATGAAAGTTAATTATTCACAAATCAAAATATTTATTTGCATCTCAACCTCAACTTTTTAATTTGCCCTAATTCTAATACTATGCACACAATGAAGTGCTTCAGAACTTGCTTCAGCAATATAAACTGAGATAGAACCTGAAGATCAACTATTAGTCAAGCACATCTATTTTGGAATTCTGCTTTGAGTTTTAGAAAGGTTCTCTCATACAACCCTCACACATTCTCAAGAAAACCTTTTGTTCTGAAAAAATAAATTATGTCAGAAAGTATTATTAAGGACAGTTCAACTTCGCTGGTCCTGACCAAGACCAATCACTTTGATTAAAAGCCTGACAACAGCAGAAAACTAATCTCCAGTTTATTACCAGGAAATGTTTTTCCAAACTTCATTTGTCCAGTGCAACATCATTGAGTTACCAATATAATGTGTAACAATTTGGATTTGAATTTACAATGGCTGGAAAAATAGAAATTCAAATACAGTATTACACTGGAATTTTTTGTATTTTTAATAAAATTGGTATGAAAAAATATAGTTAGATAAAAGCCATCGTAGCAAAAAAAACCAAGACAGTAAGTGAAAATCTGCTACAGAATTTTCCAAAAGAACTAGGCAAAGCTATTCCATGTATTTAAACCATGAAATCTTATTGTCACGAACACTGCAGCCACTTTGATTTAGACTGATATTTTCCAATTGGCTCTGAAAGGAACTGAAGAGATCTACACTCAGGCTATTCTTTCAAAAACCTCAAGGAACTTAGAGCCATTGAAAACCAATCAGTATGCTGCCTTTGTACAGGCACTGAAATACAAGTGACCTTGTCTTAGAATATCTACCTCTGCTTCTATCAAATTTGAAGAACAAAAACCAGTAGATAAAAAAGGTAAGAGTGCTTAGGGAATTCACATTAAATTTTAAGATCTTACCTTTCCTCTTCCAATGATGTCTAGAAGCCTTCCTGGAGTGGCACATAGTATATTACAGCCTTGCATAACCTGATGAACTGAATGGCCTATTTGTGTACCTCCATAGACCACAACAGGCCTTATACAAGTTCTGTTACATAGAAAAAAGTTCGGATTAATTATGTAAGTATGCAAACAGTATTGTTTCAGGAAAAATTGTAAAAAATAATCAGATCTACCACAAACAAGCTTAGAGTGGTTTAATTCCTTTTCCATACAGCTTGCTCCAGAAGGACTCAAAAAAACAGGAATTTGCTCACTGTAAGCTTGAAGTTCCCATTCTCACTGTGTAACAGAGGCTGCCAAGATGGCCTGCTTGGAATGAACTCTTGATTTCACCTACATTCTTCCCTCTCGCTTAAGCTGAGAGCTACTAACACTAACACAGTCAAAATGGTGTTAGGCTTTGTTTGTTCCCTTTTATACAGCACACTTAGGAAAAGCAGAACCACCTCTCTATATGCCTCTAGAGCTTTGTGGTGGTTTGGACCTTGGTTTTTCCCCCAGAGGCTGAAAAGTGGTAGACCCCAAGGGGTGGAAACCCCTGGATGTTTTGAAGTTTTGCCCAATGGGCGCTCCTGCAAATAATGTAAACATATCACAAGCTCACCAGAAGAGATGAGTTGTAGTTTTGGTTGTTGGAGGAGTGGTGGCCATGTTGTGAGCCACGAGGAAGGGGCTCGGAGCCCCTTGGGCCCTCTGGGGCCTCCCAGCCCCTGGCTGGGAGGGGACTGCAAAGACCTGGAACAGTGCTAGACTGGACTAAGTGTCTGTAGTTATGCCAGGAGATGTTTTCTCCATGGGCGCAGAGCAGCAGCCGGCACTGACCAGAGAAACAGTGGCACAGAGCCAGGACAGATAAGACCTGAACCGGAGAAGCAACAGAGACATGCAGCATCGCAGAAAGGACTCCTGGAAGGAGAAAGAGAGAGCCAGCAGCAGAGCTACAGAGTTTGGGGTAAGACTGAATACCAGACCCCAAAACTCCCTTGAGACCCCTCTTAGAGAAGAGGGACATGGACTCCTATTTTGGAGAGAGAGTTTGAGACATGCAGCACCAGAGAGAGTTTGAGGAGCTAAGAAGCTCAAAGAGGTCCCGGAGCTGGACCGGGACGACCAGAGGAATGCAGAGGGGGGTGACCTTGGCTCCCCCCTTGCCACTGCTGCCACGGTGGCAGCCTGAGAACAGGGCACAGAGGCCCTGCAGGAGCTTGAGTCTCCTGGAGATACCAGACCGTCACGAAGACCCCCCTGTGTCTTCGTGATATGACCGTGGTGAAACGACCTTGTCTGGGGTGACGAAGCCCACGGAAGACCCCTTTGCCTGCGTCAAGGGGGCCGAGAGAGGCTTGGATACCTCCCTCGTTGAGTGCTGGCAGAAAGCCAGCCACAGCTGCTGCATGCATGAGAAGAAGAAACCTGCTGCCTTGGAAGATGCTGCTTAAAGACTGGAAGGGATCTGTCCTTCTTTCCCTCCTGGACTTTTATTTGGAGGGGAGAGGAGATCTGATCCATTGTAAATACTATAAGTCATGGTAGAGATATTGTGATCGTGTGTATAACGTGATATGGTATTTATCTGTACAGTCATTGTAATATATTCCCTTTCCCCCATTTGGAGTCTGGTGTGTTTTGTCTGGAAAAACCCATCTCACATTAGGTTGAGATGTGGGAGGGGGCTTAGACTAGGGGATTGGATTTTGAGGCTATCTCAAACCATGACAAGCTTCAAAAGTAATCTCTGCAGACCTTAAAATACACAGACAGAATCTTTGTAAAGCAACCAATCACGCTGTGTGTGACACAAGGATTAGACTGCAAATCCACTTGAAGACTACACTACTCAGTGTTCTCGCTAAGCTTTCTGGGTAGATCCACCAAGTACAGCAACACCAGATACTCTTCTGTAGAAAACCACCTCTTCAAGCAGGAACTATCTTATACAGCTGTGAAACAAGTCTACAAGCTCTCCTTTATAACCTTTTGCTAAGGTCTTTATATGCACGCAATGAGTTTTTACATGCATGCAACAAGTATTTTTATACTCAAATTCAAACTGTCTTTTCTTGAAGATACTAACTCAGCTTCATATGCAGCAACAGTGAACACATAAACACATAAACAATTTTTACCAGAGTTAATAAAAACTCTTCAGAAAGTTTTAGTCAAGAATAGCAATGCTTTGGGGACTTCTACAATTCCAATATTTATCCACTTTTAATACATATATTTCATATTCCTATTTGTGAATTAAACTAAAGAGCTTAAGACCATCATAAATCTGAACTGAGCAATATGCATGCAATTCTTTAGAGACAACGGATTCACATCCTGATACTGCTTGACTGCCCCCCAAACAGAGGTTATCTTGTTTTTACTGGAGGCCAGCTGCAGCAGAAGCTTTCTAGATTCAAAAGCTATTTTATTGTGAAATCATCTGTATCTAGTTGAACAGAATTAGCTACAATGATGATGAACAGCTAAACTTTGTTTAGCTACAACGTTAGAAGAGTTTCAGATTAAGAAGCTGTTCTTAATAATATGCTTAGTAAGTACATAGGCAAAACATGATCCTACTTTTCAAAGGCAGACAGCCTCCAAGCCTAAGTTTGCTTGAACAAAGCCAAGTATTGATTTACCTCACCAGATTTTGCACTGATGATGTTCTGCATTATACCTCCAAACAGCAACAAACTGTTACAGACAATAGATTTAATTCTATTCTGTGCACTGGTGAAACCTATTACTTAGGAGCGGAAAGATTAATGACAAAACTAGTACAAATGTATTCTCATACAACATCCAAAGGTTCAATGACAGGTTTAGATCTTTTGTTCTGTTTTGAAAGCTAGAAGAGTTTCCTTGAGCTGTGAAATGTCTGTCCAATACCAGAAACACAGGGAAGTAAGAGTTACTAGAAACCATCACTGAAAGTTAACTAAAACCCCTAACACACCTCTGTTTTTATGAAGATGAAAATAAAGCAAGTATAAATTATATAGGGTAAGCTAATCAGTTTCTTCATATTGAAGAATAAATCTAGTGCAGGCAGCTCAGTGTGCCGTTGCAGTGTGAGCTGCAGATTGAGCTCTGAGTGGCTGGAAATGGCTGGAGCCCAAGCAAAAGGCCATGAACTGGGCACCAAACTCTTTGCTTCACAAAGGGCACAGGGACCTGCACCATTAGCCAGGTGACCTGACACAGAGACTCAGCAGGAGCCAACAACTCAGTAAAAAGATTCCAGAATATCATGTACATACACTGTGAGTGTATAAAAGCCCAGGGATTCCCTTGTTTAGGGGTCCCTTTGTGGAGACATCCAGCTTGAGCTGTTGCATGTTGCTGCACAAGTTAAATTACTTAAAGAAACCAGAGATCTGAGACTCTGCCATGGGAAACCTGGGGTCAAGTTAGTGCGGAAACCTTGTCTGACTGAGTGGTATGTGTTGGGAGTCAAGTGAGGTACCCATGGGGTCACTGGAGCCACCCACTGCAAAGGGGCTTTGGTGACAGCAGTAAAATCCCTGGTGGGTGTGACTGTGACTGCCGGAGTGGCTCCCGGATGGTCAGAAAAGAAAGTTTTCTTAACACTTCATGAAAGAAGTTTCATTTTTCCCATCAGTAAGTGACAGAAGTTTAGTACTTATCTCCTCTTCGAGCTGAACTAGACCTCCCATTCACCCACCCACCCCAATACCAGGAAGATTAGGAATTTAAATCCCTAGCCATATAGTAAGAAACCTGCTGGCTAGTATTAAAATTTGAACTCATTATAATCTGAACTCAATGTTTTCAATAATTTGATTGGCACAACAAAAATTTTGCAAGTATTTATGAAAAAAAAAACAATCACTGTTGATTTAGGCAAAGTAATAATTAATACCAGGCAACAGTGCAAAAGCTTACCCATACACAAATTTCCTTGCTTCTAGGAAGATCTGATTTACTAGTTCTCTAGTTGGGCCAGTAATGATACATTCTGGTTCTTGCTGCTGTTTAAAGCTACTGGCAGTTACACCATCTCTCATCATTTGGGCCACAATTGGTACAAGAAAAGCTGCCTAGGAAAAAAAACAAAAACCAACAAAACAGCAGTATTTATGCTGTTTAGCTTTCATCAGTCATGCTAAAAGCTGTATATCAATCTTAAAGCTTGAATGATAGTGCACACAATCAAGGAAATGAGACTGCAAAAGGACTGACCTGAATGCACTACAGGACATGGAAACTTATTTCTCCTCATTTAAGCAGTATGAAAGTATTTCTCTAGATCTTAAGAGTTTAGTAACACAGCAACACAGGCATGCAGTGGCTAACTTCTGAGTTCTTCAGGCAGTTCCATACATTGATGACATACACTGATAATTCTGTACCCAGGATCAAAACAGGTCCTTAACATGTACTTACAAACTACATTATTATCAGTAAGTCTGTAAAGTAACTATGTATCAACATTCTGCAGACTACTAGAATGGCAGATCACTTTGCAACACAGCTGCACTACACCAGCACATGTACTGCCATATAAGACTAGTTAACCCCGAGACTGCATCTGTACAGCAGTCCCAAAAGCATTCAGAATATTTAAAGCATAAGCATTGGACATTTCCCTTTCTACAAACAGAAGAGGTTTACCAGAAGAAATAAGCAGTAAGCTGTGCTACATCAAAACCAAGATTCTACAATTACACTGAACAGCAAAAAGCTACACTTCATAGCCAAACATTCTCATACATCAGCTGTCCGTGGTTAGATTTGGGTAGGTTATGCAGTGTAATAAGTTGAGACAACTTTCAACTTAGTATCAACTCTTAACGCTGTTCCATGATTAATACTGAATTACCTAAAACCAAGTTCAGTGCAGATCAGACTTGACCAAATCAAGTGTCACAAACTAGCACAACACCCTGTTACAATCTGGCTAAGTTCTCAAACACCCCCCAAAACACCCACAAAAACATAGAAAACAAAACTCACACACACACAAACCAACCAACAAAAAAAAAACACCAACCACCACCAAAAAACACTCGACAAAACTCCACACAACACTGAAAGAACTCCATACTTTCAACTGCTGAGTTTTCACATAAGCAGTGTCTAGGAATGCCTGCTTATATTTCTGAATCTGTATCTGCAGCCCTGAAGGGTGGCCCACTGTATCAAGACAGTAGTTCACTGAAACTAAAAGGAAATCCAACCCAAAACGTGACATCATTTGTATCTGTGCTTAATAGTACACCTGGCATTGCTATCCAAGTGTTAAATTACTAGATAACAAGCTGTGAAGCATCTGGCACACGGAAGACTGAAATCATCCACCTGAAAGTTCACAGTCACAGCAGTATACATAATGCTTACAGTTTTTCCTGATCCTGTCTGGGCACATGCCATTAAATCCCGTCCTGCCAGTACAATAGGAATGCTGTACTTCTGCACCGGAGTAGGTTTAGAGTATCCAGCTTTAGCAATGTTCACAGTTAAAGTATGGGATATGTTAGCATCTGCAAAGCTCTGTAACAGAAAAAATCAGGTTATTACACAATCACAGAAGTTAGAAACCCAGAGAAACTTACCACAGGACACAGACATCCAAAAATTAAAGTGTTAACTTCAAAGAGTCTCACCAGTCATCTAGATTGCCAAGGCTCCTACAGGTAAAAGTTCCAAAGGTCTCTTAAATCTGCTCATGCCATTCAAGTAACTTTGTAGGACAGAATACTTTCAGCTGGTGTATCAGCTGTGAGAGAAAACTGCTCAGAAGCCATACGTCTGGATTCAAGCAGGTAAACTCACATCATAGCACGCCATGAAAACAAACTTAAACTGTTCGGTTTCATTTCATGTAGGAGATACTGTTTTTAGCACAGAAACTGTGTGTAAGGGGAGCTAAAGCAACATTTCTACCCAGGACCAAAAAGCATCATATATGACAAAAATCACTTTAACTTCAGTGCAAAAACCGTTCAGAAGACGGATGGTGAAAAAAACCGTTCAGAAGACGGATGGTGAAAAAACCTCTGTATCCTCCCTTTCAACAGAGGTGCTACTAACCCCTTGGCACTTCTTTCCTCTTTCTTTTCCCTAGAAAGGGCTTTTTTTCTTTTTTTTTTTAAATACTAGCCACCCATATGGAGAAGCAGCAAAGTTGTATGTTAAACAATAAACTACAGCCACAGAGAACAGGGATAGAAATACTTTCAAACACTTCTCTGTCCAAATCAATACTTCTCCAACACACATTCATTTACATTATTAAAGATCCCCCAGTAACAAATGTCAGTAAGATAACTCTACCAGCCTTCCCAGCAACTGCTGCCAAAGACCTCTTTCTTTCAATATCTAAATTGGTATTCCTCTGCAATTTAATTACTATTTTTCCTATATATGCAGTATTATTTTCTCTGGAACATTTATGTAGTCTGTCAATATTACTGTGAATTCAAATTTGTATCTTTCAAATGGGCAGCACCTCCTTCCAACATCATACTGTCTGCAATAATCCAAATTTTTAATTAGTATTTTCATTAGCAGCCAATATTAAAACTCAGTAAATTAAACACCCTTGCAAAATCATGCTCAGCAAACTCTGCAATAAATCAGTCCACTAACCATTAATGCTGCTGGAGGGTCCAGTCCTGACACTTCAACGATATTTTCATCATACTTGTCAAAATTCATTCCTGTCTCATAACGTGCAAAGATGGCTTGTTCATCATCAGGTGGAGGAGGGGGCACATATGTCACCTTCGGACCTTAAGAACAGAACTACTTAAGTTCATGAACAGTATCAAGAAAAGCTAAACTAAAACTATTTTAAGTATGGAGCTACTGAAGTTAAGTTCAGTGAGGTGTCATTTGGATTTCCCTCCACTTTCCAGGAAGGTACAAAATTCCATAAATTGACTCTATCAGAACTTAGTTTTATACTACTAGACCTAACACTCACAAATGAAGTCAGACTTCTGTAAAGCATTCATGTCTCACATTTGTTTAAGGACCTTACTTTCAAGAGCTGGTCACAAAAATCCTTTATCATCCAGACACAGGCTCTTAGGATCCAGGGACATACTTCCCAGGCAACAAACTACTCCTTATGAAGAACTATCTTTCCACATGAACTTCTATACAGACAGGTGCAACTGTTGCGTACCAATAACCAAAACAGTCTTCACATGCTAACAGTTTACCCTGTGGTCATGAAAAAGGAATTACGATCCTGTATTAAGGATGCATTATGTCCACTGGGAGCATTACCATGTTGCTTCTGTAAACATTTCAGTTCCTAAAAATCATTATCTGAACTAAAAATCTGAAAAACGTAGCTTGAACTAAGTCAAATAGAGGCAAATCAATTGTTCTTTGGATATTAAGGAGCACTTCTGAAAACATATACTAATCGCTGAATCACAGAATGTTTGGGGTTGGAAGGGACCTTAAAGATCATCTAGTTCCAACCTCTCTGCCATAGGCAGGGATACCACCCATTAGATCAGGTTGCTCAAAGCCTCACCCAGCCTGGCCTTTAATACTTCCAGGGATAGGGTATCCACAACTTCTCTGGGTAATTTGTCCCAGCGCTTCACTACCCTCTGAGTAAAGAATCATTTATCCATCCTTTTTACTATAAAAAATTCTTTCACCACTATCACACAAAACGTTTTTTCATGGAGAATATCAGCCATCCACTACCCATTACACTGGCTTAATGGCATTTCTAATTAGAATTATGGTATTTCCGTGAATGAAAGATTACTATGCTCTAAGATAACACAACATACAGATTAAAAGGTACAGCAGCATCAGTGGCAACAGAATACAGGACTGTGAGGGAAAAATCCCTTGCAGAAAACAAACAAACAAAAAAACCAAAATCAATATAAAATTTAATCAGGAATAGCTGTCCTCTCTGAGCTACACACCTTACTTGTCAGTCAGGACAAACTTAAAATACTTCCACTTATAGGAAGGGTAAAAAAAAAAAAAAAAAAAGAGTCTAGAGTGACTGTTTCAAAACTGAGCAAGTTCTTAAGGCTTACTTCCAATTTGGGGGCTAGCACCTCTGCTTCACTGTACATTAACTCAACCAGTAGGAGAAAGACCAAGAAAAAAAATTATGGACGACAATAGCTTTGAAAATCCAATCACTAAAATTCACAGAAATTACAAGCATGTCTTTTGCAGGCATACAAACAAGATCTCTAACATTTGCAAAAGGTTCTTAACAGGGAGAACAATCACAACGACAGTAGCTAGGAAGGAACTGCATTGCCACAAACCACCAATGACAAATCTGAAAGGTTCACCACCCATACTAAAAGTCTCACCTGCACCCTCTGTAAATGTCCCTTTTTCTCTAGAGCCAAGAGTTCCAGACTGAGGTATGACCCTTCGCCCATTATTAATACCTGTAAGTAATGGACAGGGTATAAAATTTGTATAATGAAATATGACTGACACCAGTACTATTTACTCCAAGAAATCTGCAGTGCAACAGATCCTTTGTTAACTCCAATCTATGACGTATTATTTCCAGTAATGTTATTTTGTAAAGACATCACCTATGTTCCACAATACAGTCAAAGAACAGAAAACATTTCATAGCTTTCACCTTTGTACTGGCAGTTCTCAGGGAGCAAGCAAACCCAGTAAGAATGGCCAATGTATGTTGTTCCCATACAAACCAGTCAATACAAAAAACTTACTCTCACCTTGTCCAAAGCTATCATGAAATCCTTTGGACCCTCTATTTCGTGTACTAAAACCTTTTACAACGTTTCTTTCTTGAAAACCTGCAGTGCAGCACAGAACATAATAACTTAGTTTGCCTAATTTCGCATGTGCAGATCAAGTATCTTTTATCTGGAAATTATTCTCCTCATTCCTTATTAATTCACATAAAAACTACAATATAACTGATTTACCTAAACATATGAAAAAAACAAAGACAATAAATACTTTTTTGCCAGAAAGTTTTCAGATGGTCTATTATATCGTAATAACAAAGAGAATCTGCTGTTACATGACATCAAGAAGTTCTCCTACCACAGCATCTGTAGTTCCTTCTCCACCAAGGCTTGGTGAATACCAATTTGTTCATCCTTTGAGTTTTTCCAAATCAATTACATAAAGAAATAAAAACCAAAATCACATCTTAAAGGCTCACTGCAAAAACAGTCTAGAGGTAAGTATCCATAAATACTACACACCCTACATACAGCTTGTGAGTTACTTCACAATTGTTGGAGAGTCTACAGCAGAATTTCTCATCATCATTTCTCTGCACAAAGCGCTGCCATCTGCATAGTCAAACAAACCTAGCATTTCCCTACCACAGTGGGCATCGATCCAAAAGATGCAGAAATGGTTGAGAATTTTCTGAAAGAATAAACCGTGCTGGTTTTGTAAAGCAGTAACTTGTTTTTTTAAAGGATGCATTGTTAAGGATGCAGTTACATCCACTAGAGGAATTAGCACACTGCCTCTGTAAACACTTCCTAAAAATCATTATTTGAACTAAAAATCTGAAAAACTTAGCTTGAACTAACTCACATAGGGGCAAATCAATTATTCTTCAAATATTAAGGAGCACTGCTGAAAATGCATTCTAATCATTGAATGGTTTGCGTTGGAAGGGACCTTAAAGATCACCTAGTTACAATCCCCCTGCCATGGGCAAGGGTGCCATCCACTAGATCAGGTTGCTCAAAGACCCATTCAAGCTAACAAGGAACAGCATTGCCACAAATCACCACTGAACATGTCTGAAGGGTTCACCCCTACATATTAGAAAGTCTTACCTGCACCATCTGTAAATGTTCCTTTTCCTGTAGAGTCAAGAATTCCAGACTGAGACATGTTCCTCTGCCTATCTAGACAGTGTAGTAGATATAGAGTATAAAATTAGTATAAGGAAATACTACAATTAAAGCTAGGAATATTTACTCCAAGAAATCTGCAGTGCAACACTCCCAACAGATTCTTTGTTAACTCCAACCTATAATGTATTATACTCAGTGATACCATTTTCCTAAAGATCCCGTTCCTCTTCCACAACATAGCCACAAACACAGTTGAAGAACAGAAGCCATTTTGTAGCTTTCACCCTTGTACTGGTAGTTCTCACAGAGCAAGCAAACCCAGAAAGAATGGCCAATTGTATGCTGTTCCCATACAAACCAGTTAATATAAAAAACACCTCAAACACTTACTCTCACATTGTCCAAAGTCACCATGAAATCCTTTAAACCCTTTATTTTTTGTATGCATACTAGAACCTTCTGCAGCATTTCTTCCTTGAAAACCTGGAGTACAGCACAGCAAACAACAACTTAGTTTGACAATTCTGCATGTGCAGATCAAGAGCCTTTTACCTGGATGAAGAACAGAAGCCATTTCACAGCACTCATCCTTGTACAGTTCTCAGGGAGCAAGCAAACCCAGAAAGAATGGCAATATGTATAGTGCTCCCATACAAACTAGTCAATACAAAAAACTTACTCTTACCTTGTCCAAAGCCACCAGAGAATCCTTTAGACCCTCTATTTTGCATACTAGCATCTTCTATGTTTCTTTCTTGAAAACCTGCAGTGCAGCATACAACACAATAACTTAATTTGCCTAATATCACATGTGCAGGTCAAGCATCTTTTAATTCTTCCCATTCCTTGTTTTATAAATCCACAAAAAAAGTATAATATAACTAAGTGATTTGCCTAAACATATGAAACAATGAAGAAAAAAAGTACTTTTTGCCAAAAAGTCTGACAAGAAGAGTACTGCTCTCCTGTATGATTTCAAGACATAAATCAAACGTTAGGTCTAAGTATCTCACTCTACATGCGTATATTGCACAAACATTCAACTCTTCAGTTTTGATCCAGATGCAAATCAAAGATGGGCAACAAGACTGGTGAAGGGTCTGGAGCACAAGTCCTTTGAGGAGTAGCTGAGGGAGCCAGGGTTGTTTAGCCTGGAGAAGAGGAGGCTCAGGGGAGACCTCATCACTCTCTACAATTACCTGAAAGGAGATTGTAGGCAGGTGGGCATCGGTCTCTTCTCCCAGGCAACCAGCAATAGGAAAAGAGGGCACAGCCTTAAGCTGAGCCAGGAGAGGTTTGGGTTAGACACTAGGAAGAAGTTCTTTACAGAGAGAGTGACTGGGCGTTGGAATGGGCTGCCCAGGGAGATGCTAGAGTCACTGTCCCTGGAGGTGTTTAAGGAAAGACTGGATGTGGCACTTAGTGCCATAGTCTAGTAGACGAGGTGGTGTTGGGTCAAAGGCAGGACTCCAACGTCTCAGAGGTCTTTTCCAACCTAGCTGATTCTGTGATTCTGTCATTCAGAACTCTGGTTCAGTCATAAGCAACTGACAGCATTTGTACCTTATCAGTTTTTATAACCAGTACCTGCAGAGTTAGGATTTGAAAATTTGCCTTTCAGATCTACCAACTTCTACTTTTTTTTTTTTATTACTCAGAATTGCTTATTCCATCAGCAGTGACAAGTATTTAGTGTATTTTTATTTCTAATCCCTTTCCTTAGTCACTCTCCTGATGGGGAAGGAGAGGAAGTAAAGAGTCATATGCACAAATAAGGTATTTCTCATTTTACACTGGACAGTTTTAGGTGTTGTTCAAGATCCAAGCAGTCAGCTTAGACTGGAATTTTCTCCTAAGTCCTTATTCTTCAACTGAACATCTGTTCTATCATACCATAATGACAAAGAAAATCTGCTGTTACATGACATCAAGAAGTTCTCCTACCACAGCATCTGTAGTTCCTTCTCCACCAAGGCTTGGTGAATACCAATTTGTTCATCCTTTGAGTTTTTCCAAATCAATTACATAAAGAAATAAAAACCAAAATCACATCTTAAAGGCTCACTGCAAAAACAGTCTAGAGGTAAGTATCCGTAAATACTACACACCCTACATACAGCTTGTGAGTTACTTCACAATTGTTGGAGAGTCTACAGCAGAATTTCTCATCATCATTTCTCTGCACAAAGCGCTGCCATCTGCATAGTCAAACAAACCTAGCATTTCCCTACCACAGTGGGTATCGATCCAAAAGATGCAGAAATGGTTGAGAATTTTCTGAAAGAATAAACCGTGCTAGGTTTAACTGGGGTCAAGTTAATTTTCTTCACAGCAGCTGATATGGGGCTGTGTTTTGGATTTGTGCTGGAAACCGTATTGATAACACAGGGATGTTTTAGCTATCACTGAGCATTGCTCACACAGGGCCAAGGCCTTTTCTGCTCCTCACCCCACCCACGAGAAGGCTGGAGGGCACAAAGAGCTGGGAGGGGACACAGCCAGAGCAGCTGACCCCAAGTGACTGCAGGGACAATCCATCCCATATGGCATCACATCACACTCAGCAGATAAAGAAGGAAAGAGGGGATGCTCAGATGTCTTCTCAGCCACAGCTGTGCGCGACAGAGCTCGGCTTTTGTGGGAAAGGCTGAACCTGCCTGCCAGTGGGACGTGGTGAATGAATTCCTCGTTTTGCTTGCATGTGCAGCTCCTGTGTTACCTATTAAACTGCTTTTATCTCAATCCATGGGTTGTCTCACTTTCACTCCTTCAATTCTCATCCCCATCCCACCAGTAAGAGTGAGCAAGCAGCTGCGTGGGGCTTAGATGCCAGCTGGGGTTAAGCAATAAACATAACACTGAGTGGCTCCACAGCTGTTCTGCAGGCCAGACCTTTTGATAAACCAGCCTAGACCAGGACTAGAGTTTCAATCTTCCTTGTTTCATAACCAGTCCCACTGACACAGAATTAGCAAGCAGCTCCCACTGCCCCTGTATATTGTACATACCAGCTGGAAGCACATGAAGCAGTACTGCCAAGCTGCCTCCTCAATGTGCACTGCATACAAGTGTGGCACTCACCACTGTAAGCAGTAGGAGGACAGGGACTGAATATTGCTTTATGGATACCAAAGAAAGCAAGCTTTCAGGTCTTGTACAGAAGAGAACTGATATAGTCCCTCACACAGCATACATACGAATACTAATACTCAGCTTGACTTTTATACTACATGACAACAAAACTATCAGAACAATGCCCCTCTGCAGGCAGAACAGAATCAAAGCAAGAGGTAAACAAAACATCAATTTTAGATGTCGAGTCCTGCCTTCTGGGAAATGCGGTGGGGTATTTTGTGTTGTGCAGTCAAAACCAAGGGGTGATACTGAGTGCCTACATTATACAGAAATAAGGACCTGAATTACTCTCCAAGTCACAAATACTCATTTGGCTCTGATACAACAAAACTGAGCACCTTAATAAGCAAAATTTAATATATAATATAGGACTAGCCATTAGAATTACAGCCACTAGAGGAAGTTACCTTTGGCTGCAAAATTCCTTCCTCTACCGAAACTACTCATTGGTTGACACTGTCTGTTCAAAAATTCATCAGTACCTAGAATTAGAAAAAATAACTGAGTTAACGTTCAAAACTATCTTTGACTTAGTATAAGTTATGTATTGTATTATAAACAAATAAATGAAGTAGTAAAAAAAAAAGTAAATAAATAAATAAATAAAGGTTGAAGGTCAAAAAAAGTATATTCATTATGTTCTCTCTATAATTTGATGCTGCTACTCCATAGGAGAGACATTAAAATATCACAATGATAATATTGTGTTTTCCTTTAACCTTGTAAACTGCTCAAGTGATCAACTCCCCCAAATGCCAGTCAGAAGTGCCTTTCACATACCGAATGAGCTTACACTCGGACTGAAGCCAGATGAGAGGTCATTTGGTCTTTCAAACAAGCTAACCTACAAAAAAAAAAAAAAAAAAGGCACAACATCATGATAACTTCAGGCCAAGCAAAGTACGTAAACACAGATGCAGTTGCTATGTCTTCCACTTGAAAAGTTGCCTTCTGCACCTTCTGAAATGCAGACTCTCACACTCCTCTGTTCACTTCAGCTTAATACATTTCAGTATTCTAAACTGTATACTGTTTGCATATGAATGTTACCAAAAATCACATTACACACAGCTAAGATGTGAAGCTCACAAAGTATAGAACAAGCACTAGACTACAAGAACAAAACAGCAGCAAGCAAACTGCTGACACAGAGAAAACCTCTTTAGTTGCAGCTAACTCCTATGGCTACCTACCGTATTTGCAAAAATATACTGTAAAGTATATTCAAAGTCCTACCTACAGTCCTTACACAGGAAAACTTCTCACTCTTTCTGCAGCAGCTCTGCATTTAAGACCATGAAGTTTGGGGACAACATGAGGCACTGTATTAACTGAACAACACATAACAGCTGAGACAGTCACCTATGTTCTATTCATTGCTGTGGTAAAATGAAATAGCAATTCTGTGACTACCAGAAGTAAGAGACAGCAAACAGAACAGCTAAAAGGATGGCTTCGAGACAGAAGTCACAGCTCACCTCTAATCCACACCTTCACCAACAGATGTGGTTCTGCAAGTCTCCAAAAATGCCGTTCCACCACTGCGCTTTCACTGTTCAATAGCCAGCAACAACAATCATCAAACCAATTTGATTTGTGCAAGAAATTGTGGCCTACTAATACCCAAAATCCAGCATCTGTTCTCAGTTTATGTTACAACATGAAAAACACTATACCTTGCAGATACAAAAGAGGAATACATCAGAAAACAAAAAGGACACGCAACGTGAACCACCAACTTCCTTCAGGAGTTACAAAACTGCACTGGAATACTCCTTATCACCACCGATCTGCAGTTTTAAGTTTCTACCCTGCCTAAGTTAGCTCTACTTCTTTTCCAGCCTATGCTGATCCACTAGCCTATCCACATAGGTACTCAGTTCCTAGCTCACACACCGTAGTTAATGAGTTACTCATATGTGCCGCTTTTATGCGTGCATTTTATTTCCAAAAAGTACGCACCCTTTCATAATCCAGTGCAAAGGGGCAGCATCGAGCACCTGAAAGAGTAACAATAATCACCCATACCAATCACGTCCCAGGAGCTTCCAGGGAGGCAAGGCACCTCAACATTTTCAGAGACTGAAACTGCTGCACCTCGTTAAGAAAACACTGTCTTTTCAGCACCAAGTTAAGGTCAAGTTCCTCCAGGTGCTTCCGGAATCACAGGAACAGGGGACACCACAGCCCACCAGCCACCCAGGCTGTGCGGACAGGGGTTGGAAGAAGGAAAGGTAAAAGAAGCAAACACATTACAGCCTAACAATTGCCGCCCCCCTCCCCCCCATACCTTCTCAAGGGATGGGAGCAACGCCTCGTCCCCCATCTCCGGATTCCAGTCCTCTTCAATCAAGCTGTGCCCTGCCAGACCTGCTTGCAGGAGACAGAACACATCAGCAGCCGCCTCCTGCTCAGCTCCGGAAGGTCTAACAAGGAGAGAAAATGGCACCCTGCACCAAGGCTCACCGACCCTGCCTGCGGGGGGGAGTGAGTACAGTACGGCCCGGCCCGGCCCGGCCTCTGCGCTGGTGGGGATGGGGGTGGGGGTGGGGGGACGACGGGAAGGAGATCCTGCCGGGGAAAAGCCTCCCGCTTCCATAAGAGCGGCGCCCGAAGCCCAGCCCCTTACCTCGCTCTGCAAGGAACTAAAATGGCGCCGGGCACCGACACCCTCTTAAGGACACCGTGCACGTGCAACCGGCTGGTCACGTGACCCGCGGCCATCCAATGGGCCTGCGGCTCGGCGTCAGGGCGCGCGGGCGTGCCCGCGGCCCCTCTCGGCTCCCTCAGCGTTCCTGAATTCCCTTATGTAGAACTGTTTCACCGGGATTTGCTTGGCAAACGTCTGATAAAAGTGAAATCCACAGACTGGCGGAACCCCAAATAAAACATTAATAATTTTACTGTTTACAAACAGTTTTTCAAGCGTTAGCATGATAACTAACAGCACTTTGCTGAAGTTTTGTTTTAAAATAAATTAAATTAGGTTAAAGAGGTTATATATTTAGAAAAACAAAACAAAGAAAAGAAAATAAAACCCCAAACTTAAGCACAACACCCCTTTCCCACCGTTTTTTGTAATACCAGACTTGCTAGAGAAAAGAAAGAGAGCAAAATTCCTGGCTTAGGAGGTGTTGCTGGAGTGCAGGAGAACATCTATAGGACTCGCATCAGTTCAATACATCTATTAAAATGGTGGCAAGTACTCTGACACTTCTGCTTGTGTTTCTGAGCTGCTAGTGCAGTGTGTGTATTCTCTGTATCTCTCTTCATGCTGTGGAATAATCCAGCAATGCTTGTTCAGAAAAACATACAGGAAGTATATTTCATAAACTTGATAATACTCATTAGCCTGCTCCACCATGTGAAATAGATTTTCCTCATCAGAAAAACCAATTGAAAAACTTCTTTGAGAACTTCTGTCTTCTGTTGCAGAGAAGTCACAGCAGATGTGGAATTCTGAACATCTAGTAGGGGCTTTGGGCACCAAGTAAAATTCCTGCAGCAGCTGGAGAATTTTGGAAAGTGGTCTCTGAACTAATGCTTTCATTATTTTCCCCTTAACCATTGTCAGTTAAGCCCTGTCCTTTCCAGCTGCTCCTTTTTCAGGAGCATCAAGATAGGATAAGGCAGTTAAGAAACTTAAACAGCTTCTCTGTCTCATAGTGAGGTTAAAACTGCACCACTAGGTGATATATATTATGCTGTGCTTCGTGCAAGTAGCAAATATGGCTGCTGGCAGTTATTAGCTTTCAATAAGTAGTCAGCAAAACACACAATGTTCAAGGATGAAGAACTTGCAGTGGGAGTATCTCTGTGGAAAGTGTACAAAACTATTCATAAATTCCTGAAGCAGCACCTGAAACTAGCAGGCTCATGAGTTAAATTTCACCCACTGTGCGAACTCCTTAACACACCATCTTTTTGTCTAAACAAGGAAAGAGAGTAGGCTGCTTCGTGAGACAAAATGGCTACTGTTTTCATTGCACTGAAGCTCTATTTTGGATCACCTTAAGGAAAAAAGAGAAGTGTGTCTGTTCTCCCGAGAAATTTATGGTTGATGGCAGATGTGCTACTCTGGAACAGCTAAGCCAAAGCGAAATCTTTCAGATTGTTCATTCTCCTTTCCATCAACAGGTTACCGTTCCCTCAGCTTTTCTAGTAACTTCATGTTCTGCACTCCCTTTTTCACTCAAGGAGATACATTTTAGGTTAATAACTTTAATGGTAGACAGGGGCAGCAACTAGAATGCAGTCAGATAGAAGATATGTAATCAATAGCAGGTGATCTCAGTTCATTTTAGCTACAATCAGATGTCATGTGACAGTAGATGGAGTTGGAGAGTTATTTTCTTTCCTTATTCCTTTGATTCTGCTCATTGTAGGACACTATGTACTCCCTCCAAATTACTTTCCACCACACCAGGAGAGGCAAATGATGAAATTTTTGTGAATGGCAAGAATTTACATGATAATTGTAATGAAATTGTTCAATTAGCTGAAGAAATCAATGTCCAATCCTTAGAGGATTCTCTGGGGAATTAAAACTTTTCTTTGCCTCCCTAAGGCTGCTAACGGCACAAGTCATTAGGGACTACCCTTCAGGTCATTTTACCCAACCAGCGCCACTTAGAGCCACCTAGAGGGAAAGCAGAACAAAGTATCCAAGATATTTAAACAGTATCATATATAGTACATTCAAATGTAATATGGAGCCTCAGACAACCAGAAAAACACATTATAAGAATTAATCCCAAGTGTGAATGCAGACCCTCAAAGTGAAGAAGAAGAAACCAGCAATCTAAACATCATATTCCTCCCAGAGGTGGGCTCCAGATGCTGACAACCTGCTGTAATGTCCCCTCCTGTTACTACCACCCAAGAATGAAACCACCAACCTCAGAACCCAGAGTGGCTGCAGAAGAGTGAGGGTGAGCACAGCCGCAGGAAAAGAGGTAGAAAGTAACCATGTACATAAACCCCCTTATCCTTTTTTTTTTTTTTTTTGTGTAACAGTTAGTGCTGAACTAAAAACAATTAGACACTTGGGATTTCAGTTACATTTTCAACAAATTCTTGGATTTAGTTTCATATAAGGTGTGTTTCTCTTTGCCTACAAACAAGATTTTAAGTGTAATGCAGTTTCTACATCTTAAACTCTATCCTGATGTACTATCAGTATCTTTCAGAAAGGCATCTGGAGTTATATCTAACAAAATGCAAAACCCACCAAGTTTGTTAGCCATGCCCGTGTTTGCAACAATGGGGAAGGTTATTGATTCATGTAGTATAATGTTCTATAATGCCTCAATTTTATGAAATTGTGCATGTTATGATTCTTTCAGACATGCAAGTACAGACTGAAGTACGCCTTAAGGCAATAAAAAGAAGATTCAGTGTAGTGTGAGGTGGAAATTTCTTAAAGAGCTGGATTTGTCTTACAGATTTTTCCCTTTGTCTTACAGATTTACCAAGAACTTAAAAACTAATTTTGGGTCCTGTTTTTTTAGACACTGTCCAAGCATGTAGGAAGAGCCGCTCTTTGACCAAAAGATAATGTGTCATTGGAATAGAAAGCCACAACACAAACACTGCAGGACAGAGACTGAACATCCTTTTGTGAAGTCAGCAGTGGCAGCAGTTTAATGAGGGAGCAGGAGGAATCTCTACACTTCTGCTTGTCTCGCTTACAGTTCTTACAATAAAATATTTTTCCTAGGCATAACCTGAGGATTGTAGCAGGTGACCAAGAATGCAATTAAATACAGAAATGCAATGAAATAATCTATCTGCTATAGTAGTAACTATGGACATCTTTCATAGCACAGGGCACAGAAGACAGCTTGCAAGAGTAAGACTAGATGCTTGCATGCTGAAAAAAACAGTTCTTCACACAACTCTGCTTTTATGGCTTTCAGTTTAATTCACTTTCATAGCACCAAATTTCAAATTCCCGTGAGAGCAGTTAGATAGACTTCTTGACTCATCAACTAAAATCTTCTAATGGCCAAGAACCACAACATACACTTGGATTCTAGGAGTGGCTCAGAGGCGAAAGTTGATGGTGAATTTGCTGGGATACACAGAAACAAGAGTTTTGATCCAACCAACTTTCTGTTCAGCTGCATTTCAGGATGTTAAGTCTCTGCTGCCTTTTTTCCATCCACAGTCTGAAATTCAATTACACAGCAGTTTTCTTGCAGAACAGTTGGGCAGTCCTGCTGCTAGCCACACAATCTGGCTTAGGCTCCACTTGAACAGGAAGTACAGGGTGGGATTTATATGTAGCTTGTTTTGTACTGTTCTCACATGGGGAAGCTATCTCTGCTGTTTTCCTTGCAATTCAGCAGTTTTTCCAAGCATGAGCTATAAATATCCGTGGAGTTTGATGTTAACCAGTGTTTCAACTATGAAAAGGATGGTCCCAGCTTGATTTAAGTAGAATCAAATTTTAAAAAGAAAAACAAACAAACAAAACAAAACAAACTAACAAATCAAAACTAAACAAAAATACCCCAAAAACCAAACCAAAACAAAAAAAAACTTAAAGAAAAAATCCAGATGAAACCCATAAAACAAACAAGCAAACAAACAAACAAACAAAATCAACCTAGGATTAAAAGTAGAGAATTTTTTAAATGTATTGTATGGGAGATTGTCCGCGTGGTTTATTCTGCTCGGTGTCCCTTGCTCAGCAAGTATTTCATATCTCTCTCAGCAGGTCAGGAGGCCCACTTTACATCATTCCCCACAGAAGGCGCGTAGCCAGTCACGTGAAGACCAGCATGGTTTGTTTTGGGCAAGGGTTATGCATACATTTTGTCACCACGTTGGGCTGCAAAAGTATGGAAGCAAACGGGTGAGCTTCTTTTTTTTGTTGGTTTGTTTGGCGTTTTTTGTTTTGTTTTGTTTCTCACTAGCGGCCTCTCATCAGCCATCACCAGCAAGTGAGAACCTTTTCCTCTCAACACTCAGTTCATGCTCACCCGTTCCACGACCTCACAGGGGAGCCTGGGCTGACACACACTGCCGGCCGGCTCCCGCCCCGCGGCTCCCTGGGAGCCGTAGTCCTTGCGCTGCGCAGCGGCCGGGCGGCTTCCTCGTCGGAGCCGCCGCGGGAACTACGCGGCCCGGCACGCCCTGGGCTGTCCTGCCCGTTGCGCGTTCCTTCCTGTCGCCGCCGCGGGGCCGCCGGAGCGGAGCAGGTACAGGAGCCGGGGCAGCGGCGAGGGCAAGGCAGGGCAGAGCGGCTCGGCGGGAGCCGCCGTGGGGGTCTCAGGGTGTGGAGCGGCTCCAGAGCACGGTGCGGCCGTGCCGCCGCCTCCCCCGCGCCCCCGCAGCCCCCGCCGGGCTCAGCCCGGGGCGCCCCGAGGGGCGGAGGGGCCGGGCGGGAGCCGCTCTGGCGGCGGGAACTGAGCGGCCACGCCGTATTTGGTTCGCGGGAACGTGGGCAGATCGTCAGAGCAGTGTCGGAGGTACAGGAACGGCATGGAAGCTTCTCGGGCGGTCCGTGAAGCAGCGAAATGCTTGCATCAGTTTTCACGGGCCTGAGGGAGATCCCGTTAAGCTAAAAGCAAAAATGGTGTTTAAAATGTAAGTTAGCTCCTAAGGTGATAGTTTTATGTTCTTGTAAGTATTAATTTACAGTCCCCACAAATATATATGTATACACATACACAAATAATACAAGCTTTACGTGTTGAAGACAAAACAAATTCGGTTTCTTCTTA